AGTCCTGAAGATTAAGGAGGAATAATTCCCAGAATAGCCACTGCTATATACGAATGCAGGAAGAAATTTACAATGTAATGCTTTCCTGTTACCTGTGGTTTTGGAAGTAAAAATTCTGGGAATGGGAATGGAAATTTAGCAATAGTAATAGCACTTCGACTTATATACCGCTTCATAGTGCTTTTAAAGCCCTCTCTAAGCGGTTTACAGAGTCAGCCTATTGCCCCCAACAATCTGGGTCCTTATTTTACTGACATCAGAAGGATGGAAGGCTGAGTCAACCGTGAGCCGGTGAGATTTGAACTGCCGAACTGCAGCTAGCAGTCAGCTGTAGTAGCCTGCAGTGCTGCACTCTAACCGCTGCGCCACCACCTCGGCTCTTTAGAATGCAGATCACCCATCCTCCTGTCACTTACAGGTCAAGCTCCTCCCAGAAATCATCTGGATCCTCTTCCGATTGCTGGAGCTTCACCATGTATTGCACCAAGCGGATGGAACGGTTGTAGGATTTATCTAGTTCATCAATGATGAAGAACAAATCGCAGTTGAGTGAGGGGGCAGCTGCGTACTTCCACAGCAGATAAGGCAGGTACATGGCAACTGCGATGACCAGCAAAGAATATGGGAAGACCTAGAAAAAACAGAATGAAAGGAGTGTATTGTGATCAGTTGAAGGGTAGAACAGTGTTTCTCAACCTTGGTCACTTCAAGAGGGGTGGACTTCAAATCCCAGATTTCTGGGAGTTGAAGTCCACCCCTCTTGAAGTGGCCAATGTTGAGATACACTGGGGTAGACTACTACAAATTATGCCCAGAGATCCACATAGTGTGCAGCTAAGAGATAACGGATGGCATTCTTCTCCACTCCAATACCTTGAAGACCCAGAGGGAATTGGATGCAGCATCTCTGGCAGGTTCAGAATTGTAGCGAAGCAAGGAGTCCCAACACACAGCATCAACAAAATGAGACTGCTCTGTTGTGAAGTTGCTAGGAGAGAAGCAGCTGATTTGGGATCCTATCAGAGAAAAAGAAACATACTCATCTCCATCCTTCTTCCTAACACAGCAACATCCATCAGCTTCCTCTACTGTAGTAAACACTCTGCTGTGTTTTGAATCACCTCCAGCAAGGATGGTCCATGCCCAACCTTAATCTCTCTAAGCCAGCATCAAAGTACTCCCCATTTTTTAAAAAACTAATTTAAGAAGTTGAGCCCATTATGCTGTCCCTGCTATGGTGGTTGTTGTAAACTCTTTCTTTTCATCATATCTGTAGCTGGGTGCGCTTAAAAAAGAAAAGAAAAATATTTTACAAACTTTGAGGCAAGCCAAAGAGAGAAATAAGTTTTGTTTATTCCATCTGGATCGACTAAACCTCACACAGACATTCTTTTCCAGAAATAAACTCCTGAGGCAGGCTGTGAATTGCAGCCATGAAACCTCATATAACCAATGTCAGATTTGTGCAAAGCCACACACAGATCATCCTGTTTTTGGTACATGCTATCAAACGAGACACTGTTGCTTCTGGAATGGGTACCTTTGTATCCTCCCTCAGTCAGTGTAATGCTGATTATTCTGAATTATCCTTTTTGCGGTGTTTAATGGAGCATGTTCCCAAGGAAAAATACCTAGAATTGCATCTACCAAACTTAATGGGAGTTATTTTGAAAAAGAAACATCTGGATGTATTCCAGTGTCTCTTTTTCAAGATACATATTTGGATTCAGCCCTTGCATCACAAAAGTCTCACTGTTTGAAGGCCACCCAATGAACTTCATGGATGGATGAAAATTTGAAGCTGGATTTCTCCAGACTATTCCGACTTGATATTCTCTATGTCTGTTGGAACTGTCATTTCAGAACTTCCCCCTATGTTGGTTGGAGAACCCCATTGGGCAAGAACTGTAATCGGCTACTACCTACTGCAGTGAAATCTGTATACGGAATAATTTTTAACAGTGTCTCTGAAACATCTAATTTTCTTCATGTAAAAGCATCACTCAGCTGATGATTGACATGTTTTTTTCATCTGTCTGCTAGAAGTAAAATGTCTAATGTCACAATTTTAAGTTCAGAGAAGATTTCACATTTTATATATTAAAATTGTAAGGTGTGGTTTGAATGTGCTTCATAGTTCAATAAGTCACTGTGGGACTTACTACTAGAGAGGCCAATTCAAGGCTTCAGATACGAAACTCCTGGATTGATTTTGCAAATGCTAAATTCAATCTCAAAGTCTGTTTCAAGTTAGCATACTGGGCTTGCAGTAAACTCAATTTTTTAAAGAAATGAAAATTTCGTCCTTGCCCCCTCTGCTGGCATCTCCCTCAGCCCCTCCGAAGGACTCGAGAAACAACATGGTCACCCCCCTCCCCTCTTCAAAGAATAATAAATTGACCTACCAGTGGAAAATTCCTGGGCAAACATGAGAGACACCAAGAAGAGCGGCAGCCCCACTGTGACAAACTTCATGATGCGATCACATGGCAGCTCCAAGTGAAGCCCTTTTGCTCTGGACCTGTTTGGGTCTGGAAGCAGTGCATCTGAGAGCATGTAATTGCCAGCCGTGTGTGCAATCGACATGGTTCTGTTCTAAAGGGGCCAAGCGTGCAGACAGAGAGGAGACGGCTTCTCCAAGGGCTCAGCTACATCTAAAGCAGGAGGTGGCTTGACGATGGATGCTGTAGGTTTTCTCCATGGGGAATTAAGCATCAGGCAGTTGTAAATGGCCAGCTTGGCTGTTTGCTAAACAGAATGATAATTACAGGGCAACCTGTTCTCTACAACTACCCTCAGCCCAGAAATAGAGCCGTTGACTGGGGGTATGCTGTGATTGGTAAGGGCTCCACTGTTTCTGGCCAACCACAGGCTTAAGATGGCCAGGCTGGGCCGTGTGGTTTTATCTCCCTCTTTCATAAGCAGATGTTATTTCTAGCCACCACTGGTAAAGAGGTAGACCAGTGTATTCGATTTTCAGATCCAGCAATTTCCATGGGTGTGTGTGTGTGTGTGTATCAAATGGCTGGCCAACAGTTCATATTTTTAAAGGTGACGGTGGGAGAGGGAAACCCATTCAGAACACCTAAGAATTTTATTTTTGTGGTTTAGTAATGTGGATCTGCAATGCTTTCTTCTGTATTTGCTGTAAAACCAAATGATTCTGAAATTTCGAGGATTTCGTTGCATTTTCCCCTTGTCTCAACCTCCCCATCAAATTAAATACAGCCCAGTTCTAAAACATAGTTATAAGGATCTGCAACTTAGATAATCCGTAACTTGCATGTAACCATTGGACAAATTGCTGCACCTCCTAAAGCATGTTGTTTGAATTGGTGGCAAAACCAATTCCCAGCTGTGTGATTTTCCTTGCTAAAATAAGAAGCAAAATAACATGTTAAATCTCCAAAGCTTAACATATGGGAAGATTTCGGGCAACCTCAGAAAGTTTTCGTGGGTTACTGCACATTTTTAGCACACTACAATTGATTATCTCATACATATACTGTCTTCCCCTTCCATATTATCTCAGTTAAAATACTATGTCAGTTTAGCCATTCCATGCATCTGACGAAATGAGGTGTAATTCACAAAAGTTTATGCTTTGATCATAGACTAGCATAAGTCCTGTAAACTACAGTGGCTGAATTCACATATATGTGGCTTTCTAGGGCTACGAAGACCTCCAATTTTCTTTACACGTAAATCAGTATCCTGTTTTTCCCCTGAAATACTTCTGATTTTTATATAGTAGTAATCCTTTAATAAAGTTTCTTTAGTGGGCATCAACATATTTTTGCAGTAATACAGTCAAGCCCAGTTTGTTGTTCTAATTTTTGTAAGAACCATTCTAAATTATTTTAATAACAATGTGAGATCACTTTATAGACCACCCTTTAGAATGAAAAATGGGCACCTGTAGAAAAAGATGATTCTTAACCACTTTTAAGACACTGACAAACTAAAACACTCATTCCGAGATTAGCTAATATCCCCATGTTCTGAAATTTGGTATTCCCCAATATTATGCAACAATTATCTCACCTTCCAGAAATACTGTAATAAAATGCCATTTACAGTTCTACTGGCTATCAGCCATGAAGCTAAATAATGGGATTTGAAAGTTACCTTCTTTTCCTAGATTTGTAACCCTAAATTTGTAACCACACAATGTTTTACTCTAATTAGAAAAAAATGAGTAATCAAAAGCAAGTAAGATGGAAGTGGCCTGGGGTTGCAGTTTTTGTAATACTAAGCCCAAAAAGACAGTGTATACATAATACATTATGACCAAAAGCGATACATACGGTAGGAAAATATGGGAATCAAAAAGATACTAGAAATAAGTCTGTAGAGTGTCTCTAGATTCTTTTACTGAGTTATTTCCAATTCTCAGTGTATGTGCATACCACATATACCCAAATCAACTGATATTTTAAAAGTCTTAGCAGGATAAGGGGATTGTGCCTCATTGGCACTTATACAAAAGTATCATTATACTTTAAAATTACTTTTTTGACGGGGCATTTAACAGACAAAAAAATGTTTATAAAGACTTGCCACTGAGTAGCAAATCTGTTTGCCTCTTAAAATATCTTCCCAGAATAAATTCTATTCTTCAACAAGGCACACAGTCCAGCAGGGCCCAAATGCTAATGGAAATTGTGTTCCCTTAGTTTAGGGTTGTGCTTCCCAAATCCTTCATTATCCAAGACCACTTATCAAAAAGACCTTTTTACCCAATGTAAGTAAAACATGTTAAGCCAATTTAAATGTCCTAGTTGTAATTGGGTAATGGTTTTTTTGTGGTGTTACCTATAGAAAAAACACTTTCACTCAATTTTGGGTTAACCTAGGTTTAAGGAATACGATAACCAGAAAAATCCAGTGAAAGTAAAATAAGATTGGCTTGTTGTAACTGGCAACTGAAAGGGCAAAAGAAAGCAACAGTAATGATTCAGTGATGCATTAAAACCATCCATTTGAGAATATGTAAGACATTTTGTGTAGGCTGTTTATCTGTAATCTTTACAATGCCTTTACAATAAGAGCTGTGGTGGCGCAGTGGTTAGAATGCAATACTGCAGGCTACTTCTGCGGACTGCCAGCTGCCTGCAATTTGGCAGTTTGAATCTCACCAGGCTCAAGGCTGACTCAGCCTTCCATCCTTTTGAGGTCAGTAAAATGAGGACCCAGATTGTTGGGGGGAAATATGCTGACTCTGTAAACCTCTTAGAGAGGGCTGTGAAGCTCGGTGAAGCGGTATATAAGTCTAAGTGCTCTTGCCTATACTTCCAGCTTTAGGGAAGTGTGCTTAATCTTTGTCCTTTCCAGCTGCCATTCAGAATTGATAACACTGGGGTAGACAGCAGATTAGTAGTCAGAAAGCAGCTTCGTGTTCTATTGCAGTTGCGAGAGAAAGTTGAGGTTGACTTTCCTAAGACCGTCCTGTAAGCTCATGGCAGAAGTGAGATGTGAACCAAGAACTCCCCAATTCATAGTTCCATCAATTATTGCATACCCCAATCCTAAGGACCCTCTGAGTGTTCCTCTCCTCTCCCCAATATCTCTGTTCCAGTTATATGAATGTGATATAACACATTTACACAAACACAAACACATTTAATTCTGTTTGGCTGAGCATCAGGTATATGTTGACTCTCAAGTACTGAAAAAAATGTGCCCAGCTAACTCTTATTCCAGGTATAGCAGCTCATATAAACTGTATGAATCCTTCCAAATCTCCCAACTTCATCTGAAACCAGCATACAGGCTCTGGGAGATCTGTGACCATTCCTCAGTTCTATTTTCAGCTGCCAGGCAGGAAGATTTCCCCTGAAAGGCTACAAGCTTCCAGAGAAGCGTATGTTGTGATTCCACAGCTGAGAACATCTGGTTCCAGGTGTTTCCCCTTTCACAGGATCCTCCCATGGCTTTATAAAGTCAGGAAAATGAGTCCCATTAACAAACTAGGATAGCTAATCAGTCTTAGTTTCTTTGTGTTCCGATTTTGGAAATTCTAGCTTTAGCCGTTTTAAGGAGAGCTTGAAGAAGATGGGCGGCTTGCAAAATAAGTGGATTTTCTGCTCCTCATTGCCGTTTATCAGAGGCAGGGTGAGCTCGCAGGCATGTAGGTGGAGAGGGAGGTAACGGGCTTTGACTTGTTCCAAACCCAGTTTCTTCAGTGTACCTAGAGAGAGTTTCTATATGTGCATAAAAAAGAAAAGAAACAATGACCCACTTGCATTTCTAATTATGCTGAGTCCAACAAAATATTATTTGACAATCCTAACTACTGTGAAGCCCATTTTACCCTACCATCTTCTTGGATTTTAGTTCATGGCCATATCCGCCCAGGTTCTTCTTAATACCCCTCTTACCATGGGTGAAATGCTCCCGGTTTGGACCGGATCGCCTGATCTAGTAGCAATGGCTCCGAACGGGTAGTTCGGAGAACCAATAGAAAAAATCCCTGCGCCCCTCCCCCATGCCCAGCTGAGCCGCGCGATCATCAGAGGCTTTTTTTTTTACTTTTAAAAGCATTTTTTCTACAACCTCTTCGGCCAAAAAAATGCTTTTAAAAGTAAAAAAAAAAGCCTCTGATGATTGCGTGGCTCAGCTGGGATCGTCAGAGTCTTTTAAAAGCATTTTTTTCCTCTACAACCTCTCCGACCAAATAGATTGTAGAAAAAGAAATGCCTTAAAAAGCCTCTGAGATCCCATCTGAGTTGCCTGATTGGCAGAGGCTTTTAAAAGCATTTTTTCTGCAACCTCTTAAGGTTGTAGAAAAAATGCTTTTAAAAGTAAAAAAAAAAAAAAGTTGGCCACGCCCACCCAGTCACATTACCCCACCCCCCCCCACCAAGCCACACCCATAGAACCAGTAGTAACAAATTTTACATTTCACCACTGCCTCTTACCTGTGGTGCTAGCTTGCTCCAGTGGGAATACTTGTGATCCCCAAGGATTGGGCAACCTAAGCCATAAGCCAAGTGGACTCTGAGTTGATGCTTCACTCCTGCATAATGAACAACATATGGAGAAAAATAAGAAACATAACCATTAAATATATTTGGTTGGTTTTGATCAGGTTACATAAAATGACTTTCATATGCAATTTATCCTGAGGGAAAATTTAAGCTTTGTTTGATTCAAACATCATATCCAAATTTTAGCAGAAAAAAAAGCAGAAAGGGATATCACTAGTTTAATAGTACAATGTCTTTCCTTGAGGGACATGCCAAGTATAGAGATATTTCTCTTCCACAAAGCAGTTTTGCCTATTAGCTTTGACCTTAAGTGTTATATTATACTAGGATAACAGCCTTTATATTTTTTTATTCTATTGTTCTTCTCAATTCTTTAATGCTTTTTGCAATATCTACCATTTTATTCATTGTTGTAATGATGCAAATCCTTGGTTATTGCATACATCAAAAAATAATTAAGGCTTCAATCCAATAGTATTTCATTTAGATTCAGTGGGAAAAAACCAAGAAGATTTTAAAAAGGTCAGATTCTCAAGATGCTTGAGGTTTATGGGTATTGATTTGATGTTTTTTAACACCAATTGTTAGAGAACAGGATAGGCAATGGGAAGCATCAAAGAAAGGGGCATGTAATTGCTTACCTGTGATTGGTTCCAATTCAATGAGAGAACAAGTGGACCAGTTGTTTAGCACACGATACTGGGTCACTGCTAAGTGAGCATCTTTGTTGCGGCGCACTTTGCGCAACTTTTTGTCTTCTAAAGATACACGATAATTTGGTGCAAGTGTCATCTAAGCCAAAGATGTACATGATTCAAAATCAATTCTTCGTAACATCCAAAAAGCCAATAAGACAACAGTTGAGAAGATTAATAGGTTACATAGAATGCAGAAAACTGTTGAATTGTTTCACTGGTAATCTAGAACATCCAAACTTACATTATTTTGGTATGGCAGCTAGAGAGGAACAGGCAACATAAGATCTGTTGGCCTTTTAGAGGCCAACACTTGCTCTCAATTTCAGGTGGGCCCATCAATTATACATAAATATTATATGTATAACAGGAAAGCCAATTTGGTGCAGTGCTGAAGGTATCAGGCTAGAAACTAGGAGACTGAGAGTTCTATTCCTACTTTAGGTGTGAAGCCAAATGAGGGATCTTGGATCAGTCATCGCTCAGCCCTAGGATGAAGGCCATGGCAAACCACTTTTGAAAATGTTATCTAGAAGACTGCAAGGACTTGTCAAGCTAGTTGCTAAGAATCAAGATTGGTTTGAAGGCACTAACCCTCCTCAAATAAAGCACCCCACAACTTAGTGCAATAGTGATACTTAGGGTACAAGTTGTTCAGCATTTTTTTCAGGAACTGGTATCCATGTTGGTGAAGATGCTGATGAGTTCCCTGAATCGAGGGTGCTAATCCTAAATCTGCCTAAATGCTTTCCAGTAAGCAATAACTAAAACAGAGGTTTCCAAGTGGCCACAATTGGCAAGTCCCTGCTGCCAGGTATACTTACTTTGAAATGTGATTGGTGGCTCTCCACTTCTTTCTCCATAATGGGAATGTCTACCAGTCCCTCTTCCGGCTCTGGATTTCCAATACAAATTGCCCTATGAAAACAAAAGGGAAGGATTTCAGTTCTCTCCAATCAACACTCTCTGCATGAAGACCAAGAGCTGCTGGGTTCTCCTTATACTATAATTTATACTACAGAAATGCAGTCCTTAGTAAATTCTTGGCTTACTGAAAGTCAATATTATCAAGTCACAATAACAACTTACTCATTTGTAAGATTTCTCCTACCAGTATTTCTTTTCCACCTGACGGGTTTTGAACATCTCTTGGACCCAGTGTGCAATCATCTCATCTTTTGCTAAGACCATCACTCCAGTAGTTTCTTTGTCCAGCCGGTGACATAAATGCAGAGGTTCAGCTTTCATGCCATCTAACATCTTGGACAGTATTGGCAGCGCATCTGTAATGCATGTCTTCACCCCAGGGCCACCTGAGAAGCAGGAATAATTTAGGTTCACCTATAATGCAAAGGCATAAACCCCAGCTTAGAAATAATTGTTAGGTTCATTTATTCCACTAAGCTAAACCAAACTATTTTACACTTAACACAAATCACATAATTTCCAAAGCTATGTTTTTTTATTTATGCTACAGCATTTTCAAATTTGCACATCAAACTCAAGTTGGACCAATTTCAGGAAAAAAAAATACTTTCATGTTAAACTACTTGGAAAACACGTATCAATGTAATCTGAGTGTTGGGTGGTCTTTTTGCTGCCACTCCAATATCTACATTATTATCAAAACATAGATGCTCAGACAGATGATGATGCTCAGGTTATTTCTATTGCTTTTAATAGCAGTCTACGCAGTGTACAAAAAGAAGAAAAAAACCTGGCAATGTTTGCTTAAAGAATCCACAATAGAAAGCATCTGCCCATATATCGCTAGGAAGTCTCAAGCTACATTCTGAAGCAAAATAAGACCTAGTTCCACAGAACGAATTCCTATACAGCCTCAGTAACAGATACAAAATCATTTGACTTCTCAGCAGGACATTTATTACCCAACTAGTCTAATACATTTTTATCAACACTGCTACAAAATCAGCATTATGCTACACTTACCATGGACAGGAAGTCCATAAGGCTTGTTTATTACTACAATATCTTTGTTCGAATAGAGGATTCCCTTTTTGAGAACCTTGGCTAGGACATTAGGATGGAGCTGTTGGAAGCATCGGGTCTGCTGAACATATTCTTGCACTCGTCTCAATACTCGGTCTTTTGGAACCTTTGAATAGTCAATAAAGAACAAGTCAGGTAGTTAGTCTCTTTATCACTCAGCTTTGGTGGCAACAGCATACAACAAAGCAGAAACAGATAAAAGACAAGGTGCCAAACAAGGTGCTACACAGAAAATATGTATGTTGGAGGGATTTTTGTTTTTTTTTGGGAAGGGTGAAAATTGATGTGAAGGTGCTATAGGACAAAACGATAGGATGGTTTAAGAGAGGGGGAGAGAGACAGCAGTTCTTCCATCTCATTTGTTAAAAAGTCTGCTTTTCCAAGGTTGGAGAATCCACTAATTGTTATTCAAAGATAGATTCAAATAAATCTGATGGAGCAATACTGAACAGCTAAAGAGAATTTATACTCTAGCTATGCTTCTTTTGAAAATTACTGCAGCTTGTTTTGATGCAAACATTTTTAAGTCCAGGGTAGCCTAAACTATAAATATTCCTATAAATATAAAATATGAACGATTTTATCGGTTACCTTTACAAGGTTAACAGGATGGCGGGCGAAGGATAGTCACATCTATGTGTCTGTACGTGGGTCTATGCATAATGGTTATCTTTTGAGAACTGAATGCAACAAAATTTCCTTTTAATGTATGCTGATTAGTGTACATTTAAATCAGAGGTCTTCAAACTTGGCAGCTTTAAGACTTATGGACTTCAACAATGTCCACAGCATATAAGGAAAATCAATATAAAATGTTTTATAGCTGGCATACGCCACCGGATAAGTTAGCAAAAATGTTTAAAGATAAATCAGCTAACTGCTGGAAATGTCATCAAACAACAGGATCTTATTATCATATGTGGTGGACTTGTCCCAAAGCCAAAAATTACTGGTATAAGATTAAAATCTGGCTGGAAGAAATTATACAGCAACATATTGAATTTAAACCAGAGTTGTTCCTATTGGGTATCTTTCCAGAAAAAATTAGTAAGGAAAAGGTATATTTGATTATACATGTAACAACTGCTCCAAGAATTGTGTATGCACAAAATTGGAAATCAGAGAAAACACCTATGGAAGAAGAAGTAATAAAAAAATTTTTAGACTGTGCAGAAATGAATAGATTTAACTTTGATGATTAAAGATAAGGAGAAATCAGAATATTTTAAAACATGGAATTATTTTTATTGTTGGTTGGAAAAGAGACATAAATGACTGATACTATAACTGTGCATAAATGATGATTATAATATTGATTTAGAAATGAAATGTTAGAATGGTTTGGATGAATATGAAGATAGAAGAAACTTATGGAAGATGGAGAAGAAGCCTAAAAGATAACACCGAGACATCACAGGGAAGGGAGGATTGATATATTAAATGTTTGTTTGTCTTAAAAAATACAAAAAAAATACAAAAAAAAAAAAACCTTGTGGACTTCAACTCCCAGAATTCTCCAACCAGCATAGCATCTCGGCAAATCCTTCTAGGATTTTGCACATCACAAAACTTCCATTGCAGCATCTCATATAATTTTCAGCGTTCCAGCCACCAATGCACGCTGGGAAATGTAGTTTCTCCGTGGTGCATGCCGGGAAAATCCCCCCCCCATAACCCCCCTCCCCTCATGATTCCCAGTCAAGGCTACAGATTCACCTCCGGGACCGCTTTTGGCTTCTTCTGTTCCCGCAGCTTCTCCGCCATCTGCTCGGCGGTCACCGAAGCGGCCGCGGCTGGACTGTGGGCAAAACTCCGAACAGCCGCTCGTAGAAAAGAGCAAGGAACGTTTTGGGCGGCCATTTTCCTTCCTGCCCGGATGACATCAGAAAGGGGTGGGTTCAACTCTTCCACGACCCGCCTCTTTCTCTCGCGGGCTCGCCTCGCGCCTTGCCCGAAGAAGGCCCACCAATCGCGGCGTTCGGGAGAAGAGCCCTCTCCTTCCAATGAGACGTCGGTGCGACGCTTTATGCCGTCTCTCTCGCTCTCTCTCCGTCCAATAATCTACCCGGAGGGGCGGAGCAAAGATGGGCAGGCCAATGAGAAAGAAAGGAGCGGAGCCCTTGCAGCCAATAGCAACGTGCCGGCGGGCGAGGTGGGTCTTGTTTTCTTGGGTTTCAAGAACGACAGTTGGGGAGCGGCTTTAACGGTTTGTCTGGCAACGGGGAAGGCGGCGCGGGTGCGGCGGTGGCCAGGTACTCGCGGAGGGACCGGCCCGGGGAAGCCAGGGGAGCGTCGCGAGGCTCAGCACGCTCGGGAGGGAAGGCTGGTGGATTCGGAGCCGGTTAGAAGAAGGGGAAGCGAGGAAAGCACGAGGCTGAGGAGAAAAATCCCACTTTCTGAGGAGTTTAGCCCTTGCTCTCAAGCCTCGCTTTTCAAGTGGTGGACTTCAACCCTCAGCATGCTGACGGGGCGGGGGGGGCGGGGAGGGGGGCATTCTAGGAGTTGAAGTCCCCACAGAGTTTCCGAGGTTGAGAAACGTTGCTTTAAAAAAAAAAACTCCTGTGAATGGGAAAGTTACAAACTCGCAGCCTCAAGCCCAATTCGGATAGGAGTTTCCTTCGCTGGCTCCGGATTAATATAAAGCGGAGAACGGTTTCTGACATACCTGAATTCTCTATGTTCCTTATGTGATCTATGTGAATAAGTAATCCCACCCCTACAGTAAACCAGGAGTCTCGGTTACACGATAAATGGCAGAAACTATGGGACAGGAATTATAAATTAACGATGTCAACTGCATATAAAGAGAATTTATATAAGAAGTTTTATCGATGGCATCTTCTACCTGCGAGGTTGGCTGGTGGAAGATGTTTAAAGACAAATCAGCTAAATGTTGGAAGTGCCACCAGATACCTGTATCTTATGAGGTGGATATGTGGAGAAGCAAAGAAGTATTGGACAAAAATAAAGATGTGGTTGGAAAAGATGATAAAACAACGTATTGAGTTTAAAGCAGAAATATTTTTGTTGGGGATCTTGCCTGAAACTTATAACAAAGAAAATATATATGTAATTATTCATGCATTAACAGCAGCTAGAATTGTATTTGCACAATATTGGAAAAGTGAAGACATTCCTACTGAAGCTCATATGATATGGGAAGTATTTTACCAATGGTTAGAGGGGAAAAAAGGAGATTGGAAATAAAGGAAGAAGACAATAAGAATAGAAAATATTTTATTTATTTATTTATTTATTTATTTATTTATTTATTTATTAATTTATTAATTAATTAATTATATTTCTATACCGCCTTTCTCCCGTAAGACTCAAGGCGGTGCACAGGCAAGAAAAATATAGACACACAAACATCATAAAATTGCTAATTAAAATTATTACTTAGCTTGGTCAATTAAATAAAACCCAGAATTAGATAACATTTTAAAAAAATCAAATTTAAATTTAAAATATTAAACAGCGATAAGAATAAAATGGCAATTGATATGAGTGTGATGAGAATAACTATGCTTAATGTTATTGTATTTGTACTAGAAGATATGTTATGGAAATGAAGAATTGTTTAATGTATATAATTTGTGGAAGGATGTTGCACAGAAATATTTGTACTCAGACAACACACTGCTTAAGGAGAGATGGATTGTTTATGTATGATTTTAATGAAAAATAAATAAACTTATTAAAAAAAGTAAACCAGGGGTCTCCAACCTTGGCAACTTTAAGCCTGGAGGACTTTTAACTCCCAGGAATTCTGAGAGTCCCCCAGGCTTAAAGTTGCCAAGGTTGGAGACCCCTGCAATAAAGGGTGTGACCACGAAATAATTTTATTCTAAACGATAGCTTGATAGAGGTGGATCAGAGAAATGGACCGAAATAGATTCAGTGAGGGCTAGAATTTTCAACGCACACCATTTTTGCTAAAAATATTAGCAAAACCTGTGTCCTGTATCCTTTTCTCCATTTGTTACTACCCACACTTAGTGCAGGTTTTAATATTTATTATGTTGATTCTTTCCCAGGTAAATTCATGAACATTTTGAAGCAATATTACTTGCTAGAAGATATTACAGGTATGAGAGCCCTTTTTCATTCTTGTAAACAAAATGACATCAGTTTTGTGTTACGAAGAGGTTGATTGCTGTATCCAGTTAGGGGTATAGTTACTACATTTGAAGACTGCATAATTTCCCTATTTATTTAACTAATTCTATCCTGTATTCATAGACACACTAAATCATGGTTTACTTTGATTTATTAAATAACCCATCAACTTGCTCGGGTAAAAATGTATGTTAAATTATGGTACACATTGTCTAGTTCAGACATTATGCTAAGCCACAAAACCAGAAGCCACTTTTGGCTTAGTGAGTGTTTTAGCCAAACTAATGGTGTAGGGGTGTACTGCATGCCCCATCCCTGTGGTTTATTTTTAACTAATTTTGTACAATCTCAAAAGAAAATTTTTGCAGTCTATTATTGTATAGCCATGGAAACTGGTTTCAGGTGCGATAAGCACCATGTTGAGCATGCACTAATTTGTATGCCATAATTTGCAATCCACAATGCCTGAATTCACTTGTTATACTAAGAAGAAACCATATCCTGACTTAGCAAAATGTATGAACTCAGCTTATGATTTGAGAGTTTAATAGATGCAGGCTTTTTATGTCTTTGACCACTGATTGTTGTACATCTAAACAGATGAATATTTTAATATTTCATATGGCATTCTGTAAGGCTGAGACAACCAGGTGATCTACTAAATCTCCCATTAGACTTGTCTGGGTTACATCATGCTTTCCATAAAGTGTATATAGTGATTTCTAGGGAAGGTATCCTCAGTATCCAGAGTTTCCACACTGTTTATTTTTTTTCTTTTGTTTAATGATCTCCGATTCTTGGAGATGTTTGGACAAAGCCTGCTATTTTCTTGGCAAGGTTTTTCAGAAATAGTTTGCTATTCTGTCCTTCCTAGGACTGAGTTAAAAAGACTTACCCAGCTGGCTTTGTGCCCAAGAAAGAACTAGAACTCATAATCTGATTTCTAACCTGATACCTTACCCTCTATGCCAGACTGATTCTCATGAATGTACCAAATGTTTAAAGTAGTTCAAAAAAATTAGTTTTTAAAAAATATGAGAAAAATATAAAGGACTGAGAAATTTGCATAATTAGCGAAGGTATTTTCTGGAGAAAACTAAACTATTAAAATACAATTCCCTTGGAAGCTGTACCTACTTGTCTAGCTTCCCCCATATTCCCTGAATTACTGCTTTGGCAACTATAATTGTTATAATCATTATTTACAATTGTTTAAGTATTAGATACTTTCTGTATGCAGTTATAAACAAAAAACATAGAACCAATATTAGTATCCGCTTCAGGTTTTTTAAAAATAATTAGATATCTGCCCATCACAGTTATATAATGAAATGTTTTATTTTTTGAAGGTTAAAGGGAATGTGTGTAAGTCTATATGTAATCCAACTATTTACCATTGTAACTTTAGATGTCTGTAATAGATAATTTCAAGATAATTTGTTTAGAGATAGCAAGATAGTGTCAAGAAACTTCAATCTGTACTAATACATATCCTTTTTGCAGCTTGTTCTGGAATTTCCTTATCCAATTGAATAGAATCCACTGGGCTGCTTTTAATTTCCATTTGATCATCCAATTCCCTTTCAGGATGTTTTGTTTTTTCCAAATTTGGTTGTTCAATGCGTCCTCTGCGCACAAAATGACTGATACGAGATTCTAGATCTTCACATTTGGGCCGATCCATTAACGGTTTGTAATTGTGGGCTTTCACTCCCTCGATTAAAGCACTAATCTGGTTGTGGACTGGTGGTGTTACCTCTCTCCAGAGTATTGTTGTGCTGTTGCTTGAAGCTGTAATCAACAATTAGTCATCAGAACAAAAAAATATATATCGGCATTTAATTTACTAATTGCTTCTGCCCTTTGAAGTATTCTAAATATATTGGAACTTGTAAGAACCTCTCTACCCAACAATATAGTTTTAACGTATTGCTGGATATACCGTGTTTCCCAGAAAATAAGACACTCTTACATTTTTTGAACCCCGAAATAAGCTCTTGGCCTTATTTTCGGGAAGGTCTTATTATTTTGGGGCGTGTGGAGCAAGACGGGGCTCCTCTTGTCATCTTACCTGATTTCCAGCTCTGTCTCCCTAACCAGAGGAAATGGCGGGGACTGTCTGCGCATGCATTTAAATATTTTCAGGGAGGACTTATTTTTGGAGAGGGCTTATTTTGGGGGGGGGTATTTTAGCGCATGCGCTCAAAAGCCCGCTTGGGCTTATTATCCAAGGACGATTTATTTTCAGGGAAACATGGTAGTAAACAAATAATATATTTTGTTTAACATATGTTAAACAAAAGGAAATTGTTCTTCAAAAACAAAATGTTCATTAAATATGAAGTGAGTTATGACTACACCACAGTGTACCAAGGAGATAAAATATCTTACCATCCACATATTGACAGCGGCACGCATAGTGTACGCTCAGAATTGGAAATCCGAGATAATACCAACAGAAGAAAAAATAATAACAAAAATAAATGAATGTGCAGAGATGGATAGGCTCACAAAAGAGCTCCAAGATAAAGAAAACACTGACTTCTATTTAGTTTGGCAAAAATGGTACACATGGTTAGAAGGAAGGATAGGGCCAACAACATAGGACACTAGGAGAACATAACTCAAGAATCGCAGAAATAGATACATGAGATGAGCCGTAGGTTTGTATAAATAAATGGTTAATATGATTGTAGAAAGATACTGCTGAATTTCTATGAATGTATTAAGGTATGAGCAAGTAAATTTGTAAATAGTATGATTAAGGAAAATTGGTTAAATGGACATTAATCACCGATGCGAAGGTTTTCTAGAAGTTAGTCGATGGACTTTTTGTTAATGTATAAGTGTTCACATGTATTTGTGTTTTACGTTTGTTTGTTCATAAAATTAAAAAAAAAATGAAGTGAGTTGTATGCGTGTATAAAATGACAAAATTGAATTTTACAGATAGACCGAAGTATACAGTATACCAGCAGTTTACCACATGGTAAATTGAACATTCGTTTAAATACAGTTTTTAAAAATATCATTCTTCCTACCTGGCTCTGTAGGTATCTTTGCAAAATCCAGGCCCCATAACATGCTGTAGAGCATCTGAGTTTTAATAGCATGGTTCGTCCAAAGCTGCTGAAAGCGTGTAACATTAAATTCCTGGACTTGATGATCATAGATCCACTGGATGTTTTCAAACTCACAATCATATAAAACTAGAGGAAATTCCACTGCCATGCTGCAAGGTAATCAACTTAAATTAGTACAAATCAGGTAATTCCAACAGAGTGCACACTGAAAATGTTATAGCTCTTGACAACAGATCAAAATGATAAAACATAATTTTAACAAGGCAAGCTGAAATATAGAGAGCCATTGCCAATACAGTAAGATTGTGCATGCTTTCAGGAATTCCTACCTGTACTGTGGTTTCCTAGGATTAGTTTCTATATCAAACAGTTCATCAATAATGTCCAGCTTCTCCATCCTTTGTCCAATCAGAAAGAGAATGGCCATCATGCAGCGGACTTGGTGATAAAGGAATGCTTGGCCTGTTACTTCAAATGCATATATTTGGAATTGGTTTAGTTCTTCTACTTTCCTTTCTTGATCTGCAAGCTTCACTTCTGCAGTCAGGATTGTCCTCTGAAAGTTGATCACACCGTTGGCTACGTCCATTTTGCAGAAATTACGAAAATCATGGGTCCCTATGAATCTTTGAGCTGCTGTATTCATAAGAGTGACATCCAGATCAGCACGGGGAAAGAAATAGCGATAGGTCCTCTTCAGGCAACTAAATCTAGCACTGAAGCTAGGAACTACAGGGGCCCATGCCAATACTCTTATGTCAGGAGGGAGTACCTGATTCAAAATATGGGTGTAGCGGATCTCCTCTGAAATATGACTTTTATCTTCTGTGTAAACAACCCCAGATTTATTTTCTGAAAGGTTTGACCGGAGATCCAAAGAGATCACCTGAAAATTGCAAAAAAGTTGTGATTCTAGAATTAGGTGCATATTTCTTTTCTGTTGAACTATCATTAACAATTTTCCTGTTAGTCTAGCTAACTAGCTCTGGTATAATTTTTTGATATACTGATGTTTTCACAATTTTCCTGTTTATTTATAATGTATTCCTAAGTGACTCTTGTGCCAATAAAATATAACCAGAAAAAAAATACTACTATCATTGAGATTGCAATAGAATGAATTTTGATTTAGTGGAGCTTCATACAACAGATTCTGCATGCAGTGCAGTGAACTACATTTCCATGACAGTTTATGTCATTTACAGAATGATGTTAGGCACGTAATACATTTTGGTCTAAATGACATTACTGTAATTGAAACGACACCATTTCACAAACAATGTAGTGCTTTTGCATTTAACAATTAATTTATGTATAACAACATTTCCCCACAATCCACTAAAGCATTTCACTGCATAAAAATTTTGGAGTAGTTTTTCCTGGGAACTCTGGATCTCAATTGCTTTGATTAAAAAAAAATGTTGCTTGTAATAATAGGTATTTTCTAGAGCTAAATCTTTTTTGCAGAAATAGTAGTTTGTCATCAGTTGTCGATCGATTCTCAGGCTCATCTCCTAATTTTATAATAGATGTCTTAGCTGACTATTTACAAATGTTATACTTTAAACCAGTGTAATGCATTAATAATAAATCAGTAGTTCTTGTTCTTATGTTCAGAGTTTTCTAACAGTTCAGTCATCATGCTGTATAGCAAAATTACTGAGTTCTAACTTATTGTGCAGTTGACTAAATATCAGCTTATAGGATGGGCAATAGCCCAAATCTAACAAAGCACTTTAAATTATATGGGTTGTAGGAATGATGGCAAAAAATCAGAATTCTGAAAGTACTTTTTATTGTCTAAAAATGTTATTAACAGTTGTAAATTTTTATCAGGTGAATATGATCAAGTGAGCTGCACCTCAGAAAAGCTTATGCCTTAATATTTATTAGTTGGAAAAGATGCTATCAGACTCTTATATTACAGAAGAGATTGTTAATGAAATTCACTAAGCATTTTTGCACAATCAACTAATATAGCCTTTTAAACAGTTTTGGGGGGGCATTATTAGTTGCAATAACACATGTTCTCTGTGTCACCCCATCCTCATTTTAGTGTAAATTAAATATTAGACTTACTTGTCCAAATGCACTGACTCCCTTGTCTGTGCGTCCACAGCGATGATAGTTAGAAGTCTGTCTGTTGACCACCAACCGAGTTTTTCCTAGAGCTTCAAACAGTTTCTCTTCTATTGTATTGTTGGTGTTCTCCTGGCTGGCAAAGCCCTGATATTCCCACCCCAGGTAGGCGATCTTGAGTGCTACATGCCTCTGGCCATACGCACTGAAATTGAATGGCCGCTGTGGCCGTTTCTTCCCTTTTCCTGATGCTGGGAGACCATTCCCCTCGCCTGGGCTTTTTCTGTTTTCCAAGAGCCTGTCTTCTAGCCTTTGCACTGTCTCTTCCAGCTCCTGGATTCTCTTCAGTAGCCTTTCTGTTTCTTCTGTGCCTTTGGCCATTGGTAGAATGCTATTTAAAAAAAAAAAGAATTTGGCAATATGAAAATGCAATAGTAGAGGAAAAGGATCTTTCTGCGAATAACCAAACAAATGCAATCTGTATTTGCTACTAGAAGCTATTCAGCTGAAAAAAATTAACTAACTTACTTGCCAACTGTTTCTGCAGAGAAAACTTGTTGGGATTTTATGAATTTCATAAAATACTGAGAACTGAATGGCTGTTTTTGTTCACTTACAGAAGAATCTGTTTTAAACCACCTTTATACTTGGATCCTCCATTTCTAAGCTGGCTAAAGAGGAGCAAAAAATACCTTTTCCAGGTATGCATACTAATTTATGAGCAAACTAAGTCCTGTTGGCATCCTGATAGTATTGTTTATTCAAAGGCATCCAGAGCACGCCTTCAATTAAGGAATGCCATTTATCGGGATTCCAAAAGCATTCCTTCTACGTCATGGTGTTCTGGAATGAGTCCGAGGGGTTCCAATCCTAATGGCATTCCAGAGCGCCTTAAAGACCTGATCCTTCTCCCAGTCATGGGCTAGACTGGTGGGTATATGATATGTTTATCTTCTTGGCTAGTTCTGCCATCTTGTTGTTGTCTTTTTCCTATATTTGTTATTTATTTTTATATTGTGAATTGCCCAGAATTGAAGTCAGGAAGTATGAAGTTGAATTAAATAAGATTTTTAAAGCTGTTCTAAGTTGTTAAGGGAGAAGTGGTTAAAAAGAAAAGCAAAACAAAAAAACCCCCACAAATTGATTTCATTGGAAAGTGCATCATTTTGCTGTCATTATTTAGAAAATAGGTAGGTATTGCAAAATCAAAAGTTATTTTAAAGGAAAGCTGAAGTGCTGATAGTGGGGGGGGGGACTTAAAGAGCATTGAGAAATAAATAACAAGTACTATTGTACATTCCTTCTTAGACTTATATATTCCTTCAGAAATAAACTCCATCCTTGCTCTTTAGTATAATTGCAGCCACTTTTTTTTTTTTTTTTTTTAAATTTGATTTATATGCCGCCCTTCTCCGGAGACTCAGGGCGGCTTACAGTGCGTTAAGCAATAGCCTTCATACTTTTGTATATTTATACAAAGTCAGCTTATTGCCCCCACAAACTGGGTCCTCATTTAACCTACCTTAGAAAGGATGGAAGGCTGAGTCAACCTTGAGCCTTGGAGAGATTCGAACCAGCAGTAAATTGCAGGCAGCTGTGTTAATAACAGGGTGCTTTAAACCACTGTAGTACCAAGGCTCGTGTTATCAAGCTGTTGGGAGTTACTACACTCCACTTACTTTTCCAGTCTAGGCACAGGGACATCTTGCTTTGTGACCCTGAAGTCTGCCCTCCCCACACCTCAAACATCCCCCCCCCCAAATAATCTCTAGGAGAGGAAGGGATTGGGGCAAATATGCCTTTGCCGAAAAAAAATGGGTTTGGGATGTGCAGTAGGTGTGTTTCATTTCTACCTGGTCAGAGGAGCTGGGGAGGGGCAGCCTTTACAATGTGGCACAAAGGATGGAGTTTTCTAAACTAATAAGAGGATCTGATAGAGATGGAGTTGATAAATAAGCATGAGTTGTAAGGTATTTATGACTTAGCAGACAGTACAACCTACCTTGGTATCTCTTTTCCAGAATTCATAACTACCCCGACTGAGAGAAGCAATGCAAGCCCTGGCACGACCCAACCGATACAGATGGAACTCTATGAGCAGGGAAGAACGGCTCAAAGAAGCCGCCATGGACTTTATTCGCATGTGTGCAGAACAGGGTGATGGTGATAGCCCGAGACAACTTCAAGTGGCCCCTCAGCTGGACCCCTACCCGAGAGCCTCGGTGGCCTCAGTGGCCAGACCTATGCTTCCTACGATGATCAGGCAAGGTCAGACTGAATCCAGGTTCCAGTCAGACAACCTCGAGAATTCCAGAGTTTCTAAGAAACCTGTGATGAAAAGGAAAGTTCTGAGGCGAACGCCTGACGGAGAAGTGCAGGTGACAGATGAATCTATCACTAGTGAGACAGAATCCAACAATCCAAGTGTCCACCAATCCAGTCCTGAATGTGAGAACTTAAATCAGAGAATGTACCTTCTGAATGCTCAGGAGAAGGAGGAAGAGTGTAATGAGGAGAACCAGCCCCAAAGTTCCCCTGGGTCAGTCTGTTCCTGGAGTCCTTCGGAGGAAAGCCAGAATCAGTGTTCCCGAAAAGAGAGCCAGAGCCTCAGTTCTTCGTCCTTTGAGCAGGACTTCATCCTAACTGGCTACCCCAAGTCTTTCATATTACCAAAGCTGGAGCAGCTCAATCGGAACAGAATGAAGACCGATCGAGTTGCCCGTTACCTGGAACACAAACACGACTGGGAATCCCTGCGGCTTCCAGGAGAAGACCCCAGGAAAGGTGTGCGCTGGAGCATTCGGGAACAGATGCTCTACAAGTCAGAATTGCCTCCTAAGGCTCAGCCTGTTTATATCCCCAACAATTATCTGGTGCCTACAGAGAAGAAGAGATCTGCCCTGCGCTGGGGAATACGCTGTGACTTGGCAAACGGTGTGGTGCCTAAAAACATCTACTCCTCCTAAGAACCTGGAATCTTTAAAATGTCATACACAGAAGAACTTAGTAGATCCCAAAAAGCTAGCTACCTCAATTTTGCAGCTAAGCTATTTTTATTTCTTTCCAATTCCAAACCCTACCCATTTAATCTTAAATTCTATCTTGGATCTGAATGCCTACTTTCTTTCAAAAGATTTTTTAAAAGCTACTGTTGTCTCAGATCATATTATTTGAATGTAAATATTACCTTATAAAAAGGTAGGCAGAAGATGAATCAAAATCTACTGAAGTATAGTCAAGAAAAAGGATCCTTGTTTTTTCCCCCAAGATGCTTTACACACAGTCCCTCTTTGAACTCCTGAACTTTTAAAAAGTTTTAACTTCTGGATGTATAGATTAAATTAAATTTATGAAGTGAAATGATTATTTTATTCTTTCCAAGGGCAAACTTCGTTTCTCCTGCTTTTCATCATGCATTAGAGTTGCTGGTCAGAGCTACAGAAGTAAACTTTTCTCTGGAATGAGGTACTTCCTTGTATATGAAAGTGATGTTTTACAGATACATATCAGAAAGGCAGGATATTTCCTTAACTGATTTTTAGCAATATACTTTCTACACATGAAGGTCTTTATATTATGTAGTTTGCCTACTGAAAAATACAAAGAACCAAGGTGGCTCAGTGGCTAAGACACACTGAGCTTGTCGATCAGAAAGGTCGGTGGTTCGAATCCCTAATACAGGTCTCCTCCATGAGCAGGTGGTTGGACTAGATGACCTCCAAGATACCTTCCAACTCTGTTACTGTTAAGAAATAATAATTGAAACATCTGGGTTTAAGACACTACAAAACAATTTCTAATGGGGATGTTTTACAAACTAGATAAAAGGGGGGAGGTAATTCAGATAATGAAGGGTCCTTGGTACTCTGAGCTTGGTTGTTTTCTTGCAAACGTTTCATTACCCAAACTATAGGTGTCATAATCAGTGCTAAATGATGTTGCCTAGCTTTGATAATGAACGTTTGGAAGCAAAGCTGCTACAAATATTCTCCTTTGTTAATTCACATAACTATTAGCAAACGTGGGTAAACAAAACTGCTCCCTTCTACAAAACGTACATTTTGCAGCGTGTGCCCCTCTGCGTGTATAGAACAACAGCGTACAACAAACTTGCACAAGCCGTACATTCCTTTATAAGACGGCAGGCAGGCCGTTAGCTGCGCTCAGTCGAACTCGCAGATGACAGCCAGCACCCGCCCCCCGCCCAGCCTGGCACTTGAGAGCCCCCGTATGCTGGCGTTTCTTAGAAGTTGCCAAGTTCGAGAAATGTTACAATGTGGGGAACGCTCAAGATGTTGGTCGGAGAAGCTGCTTTAAATGAGGTGTCCCCGTCCCCCCAAGAGATCCTCCGGTGCCATCTGTAAGATACCAGGAGCAAAGCGATCCCTCCATCAATTCTGGAAAGGCGTGCGGGGACCCTTCGGCGCCAGAGCCCATTCCTACCTCCGCGGGGTTTCCACGCGCACGTGGGTTGGCAGCAAAGACAGCCGACCGATATTCCACAGGCAACGTCCATACAGGAAATGACGCATCCTTCCCCTGTCCCGATACAGAGCGGAGGTTTCTGGGAAGTGGAGTCTTTCTGGCCCCTGCGTAGCCTGCCGCAGAACGTCAAGAATTTTACGTACCAGCGTTTCCCTCACCCAGCCTAAAACGGGCGCCCCTCGGCAATCTCTAGGCGGGCGGGGCGGGGCACGTGAGGAGGCCCCGCCCCTCTGTGAGATTTCCCTAGCAACAGCGCGGTCGCTCCGCCCCATTCCAGCGGTTATAAATACTGAGCGGTCGCGCCCTCGAATCAGGCCTCGTTTGTTCCCGCAGCGTTTAGCGAATCTGGTTGCGGCCCAGCCGCTGGATCGCCCTCAGCATGGAGGGCAAGATGTGGGAGAAGCCGATTTACTTAGCGATGGGGCTTGGAGGGATGCCCAAGGGGCACCCCGGGCACGTGGAACACAACGTAAGAGGCAGGCGAGGGACGGGGCTTCTGGCACCCCGGAGCCCTCATCAGAGAGTTCCCTCTTCGCTCCAGTCCTTTGCCTTCCCCTACCCCCCCCCCCCGCCGCCACGCATCAGGGGTGAAATCCAGCAGGTTCTGACAGGTTCTGGAGAATCAGTAGCAGAAATTTTGAGCAGTTCGGAGAACCAGCAAATACTATCTCTGACTGCCCCCAGAGTGGGGAGGGAATGGGGATTTTGCAGTATCCTTTCCCTGGAGTGGGGTGGGAATGGAGATTTTGCAGTATCCTTTCCCTGCCATGCCCACCAAGCCACACAGAACCGGTAGTAAAAAAATTTGATTTCCCCACTGCCCACATACAGGCACAGTGCCTTCCCGAAGGCCTCCCCCCACGGCTGCATCCTGAATAATGGTGGGGGAATAAAAGGTGATCTTTGCACATGCCCAGAGGCGCTTCTGTGAATGCTCCCTGCTGGTGGGCTGAAAGCTGGCTAAAAACAACTGACTGGATTAGGGCTAAATTCTCAGCTTCAGTGGCTGGCAGGTATAGTGTCCCTATCCAAGGGGGTTCAAATTGGCAACTTAAAAGTATGGGTCTTCCATTGAAGACTTTCTCATTCATTTATAGTTTTTTTCATCAAAGCATTCCCAGTGAGGATTATTTTTCCACTGTATATTACCAAATGTTTTTTTCATTGCCTCTTCTCTGTTGTGATGTTTGTCTTCTAAAGCAATATCCCTGCAGAGATTCATATGGCTCCAATTCTGATATTATAAAGATTTTGGAATTAAGGCGAATAATAATGAAAAATCTGGCTGTTTCCTGGCCTTGGGGTAGAGTAGGTGCTGGTCCCTTGTGGGAAGTTCCATAGATATAATGTATGTGGTTCCCGGACTCACCGACATACACGATATCTTAGGACATCGTATTGTCCTGCTTTTTAAAGTGTAAGCCACCCAGAGCTACTGAAATAAACATCAAAAAAATTGTAGTTGGACGGAGTTGATCAAAACCTGAACAAAAAAGGGGGAAAAGTTTAAAAACAAAAGGCAAGGTGTGAGGCAAGCTTTGTAAGAAGGCATTGAGAGCTTTACATCAGTATAAACTAGATTTCTTTTTCTTATCTCATTCCTTAATTCCTTATGTATTTATGGACTAATGTTTATCTGCTTTTTTTGTTACAATATACTTAACTGTTGTGTGGACAATTTTGTTTGTGAATATATTCTATATTCTACTATTCCAGAGTAGATGTGATCCAGCAGAATTTTTTTTTCCCCCAGTTGTCCAAACCTTTTGGTCATAAACTCATTAGTTTCCTACCAGGGCTGTACTTCTCTTTGCTCAGTTTCTTGTCTATCAATATCTGAACTCTCCTTTATCTGGTTCTTTCTGGTTATCTCTCACCAAGTGCCTTGCCTGTTCCTCCATTGCTGGCATAAGTAGATATTTTTCTCTTTGCCAATCCCTCTATTATACACAGCTTGGTACTTTGCCAATCCCTTCATCTCATTCCTACTTTTCTTGTATTTTACTTGTGGTTTTCCTGTCTTTATCTCCAATTTTTTCTTGGGCTTAGAAGTATAGAACTTTCTCCATTATTCACCCAATACCTCAACTACCACACTATACCAATCTCTGTATCATCCATGTACCATCCATCTACACCCATTTACTATCAGATTTGTTGAGAATCAGTTGGCATACAAATTTAATTAAATTATTAGCTAACCATGGTAAAATTACACCATAGCACTTTGGTATCAGATTGGCTGTGTAGCACTACTGAGTCTCAGATGGTTTGTTGTCTGCCTTTTGTGCTCATAGCTTTGCAGGCCAAGCATCCCTGGAAGACTTCTCCAACATCCTCAGCCTTTCTCAGGGACAGGTAAGAGGTGAGCTTGGGTATTTACTGTTTAAAGACCACAACAGCGCTAAACTGTGTGCCCTAATATGCATATGAGAAATATTTTATTTGCTAAGTTATAAGACATAAATTTATAAATCATCATATATCAATATTTTCAAGGAACATTATTAGTCCCTTGCATATATTGGTATGATGATATTAAGTTAGTGCATCCCAACCTTTCTGGCACCAGGAACTGGTTTCGGAAGAAAAATTGTCGTCTATGAACCAGGGTGGTGGTGGGAGAAGATAATGGTTTCATACACAGATGAAATTTCACTTGCTCTCTTGCCACTTGTGCGGCCTGATTCCTAGCAGTCCACGGATTGGTACTGATCTGTGGCCCAGTGGTAGGGACCACTGATCTAAGTGATGTGTGATGATATCTGATGATATCTGGAGTTCATTGCTTATTTACAGCAGTAATTCTGAACCTGTAGTCCGTGGACCCCTGAGTGTATGTGTGTGGTTGTCACGGGGTCTGCAAAGGCTTGAAGAAATGCTATGATTTAAATCTTGAATTAGATCTTGGTGGTCCATGGCCACAAAATGTATTTGAAGAGGGGCTATGGTGAAGAAAATGTTGAGAACCACTGATTTACGCTATTAACTGAAACTGTACTGTTTTAATATTTTTGTATTGATCTGCGTTGTCCAGATCAGTGGGTCTCAGCCTGTAGATCTGGGAACTATTGGTTGTCTATCCAAGTATTATAGATGGTTTCTAATGCAGGTACCAGAAACATGTGTTTGTATAATTTCAAATGGCCTCCCAAATGGAGTGATTTTATTTTGAACCCATTCATTCTCATAAAACCATGGAATATAAGAGCTGAAAGGAAACCATTTGATCCAATCTTTTCCAAGACATTCTTTAAAATTTATTGTAAAGTTTGTTTTATTAATTAAATCACAATGAAGCAAGTCACGGTTTCGTGTAGTAGATGCCCTGTCTTCCTCCCATCCCTTCTGTGGAATGAAGTTATGAATGGGTCTGCAAATTAATTCATACTATTTTTTAAAAAAAATCCTCCGGAACCCTAAATCTCTAAATTGGACTTGAAATGTTTCTTAGTTTATTTAAGTTTTTTAAAAATAGCATGGGCCAATCTAAAAATGTTTGGAAAATTCCTTTTAAGGATGCATCGTTAGGAGGAACAATGTGATCATGGAGACACAGGATGAGAAGGATGATGACAGAGGTAAGATGATGGATGATGGGAAGCTGTAGTTAGCCCTAGCTATGGTTGAAAGAGTATGCCGATGTCTGGATTGGATCCCTTCAGATTGTGGGCACTTTTTCCTGGGAATCAAATATTCCTACATATTCCAAACTGCTCCCCCCCCCCCGATAAAATTGGCTACAAGTAGTCTTTGTTAAACGACCAGTCACTTGTAACAGATCTCCCCAGGAATACAGGTAAGCCCTTGACTTACAACCACAATTGAGCCCAATATTTTTGTTGCTAAGCGAGATAGTTACGTGATTTTTGCCTCATTTTATGGCCTTTCTTGCCACAGTTGTTAAGTGAATCCCTGCAGTTGTTAAATTAGTAATGCTGTTGTTAAGTGAATCTGGCTTCCCCATTGACTTTGCTTGTCAGAAGGTCGCAAGAGGAGATCACACGACCCCAGGACATTGCAACCATCATAAATATGAACCAGTTTGCCAGGCATTCGAACTTTGATCACGTGACCATGGGGATTTGGTCATAAGTGTGAAAAACAGTCGTAACTCACTTTTTTCAGTGAGTTACGACTGTTTTTCACACTTATGACGATTGCAGCATCCCCCTTTTCAGTGCTGTTTTAACTTTAGTCACTAAGTGAACTGTTGTAAGTCAAGGACTACCTGTACTTACAACCTGGATTTGAAGTTAGGCATCCCCTCCCCACCACCCCAGGGTCATGTGATTGCATTTCAGAGCTTGGCAACTGGCCCACGTTTACGGCCTTTTGCAGTAGCTTGCGGATTTACAACATTTTTTGCCAGAAACTAGTGTTTACATCCCATTTGTGGCAATAAAAAACCACCCATTGTGGACAACGTGTGAGGAAGAAGATGGTGATGGCAGAGTGCAGGGTGGGCAAAAGGACAGAGGTTGGGGGCAGTTGAAGCCCCTTGTGGCCCTAAGTGCAGGTGAGCTGCCAAAGATCCGAAATTTTATCATATGACAGCGAGGGTGCTGCAATGGCCGTAACTTCAGGGACCGGACATAACTATTGTACCATTTGTTTGGTGATGTGGTAACTTTGAACAGTTGATGAACAAAAGGTCATTAACCAAAATCTATCTGCATTCAGATGTACATCCTTACCCAATTTATGCAGATTTACATGTTGGAGTCCATATATCAAGGCAGTATTTAATCAAGTTTTACAGATTAACCCTTATCTGCTGACCAACAGTCCCTATTGTCTTCTTGCCAAAGATGAAATGGAAATGCATATACAAATGCAATTCCACTTGATGCTTAGTTCATTTTCTGGTGATTGATATTCTCCCGCCCCCTCCCCCATCCCCTAGAGAAAAGCTGGCTGCTAAAGTTTCACATTGATGAAGACATCCATTCAGTACACTAAGATTTCTCATGGGAAGATGCGATTTCTGAACTGTAGGAGTTTGGCAAAGAAATTGTGAAGCCATTCCAATTGAAAGGAGCCACTCCTTCACTTTAGGAAATAAGTTGAAATAGTTTCGGTTCTCCAATCAGAGAAGCCCATTTTTATTCTCCAGGCTAACTTCTCTGCTGTGGCATTTAAGGCACCTGCACATGTGGTTTATAATCCAGCTGTTACGATGGGAAAGGAATAGAAACTGGAACAAGGCAAGAAATATCAAGCACCAGTACTTTTCAGTCGGTACAATCTTGTCTATAGCCTGGTGAAAAAGCCACTGTCCAGGCAGTTTTGAAAAGAAAAGTCTTCCCTCGTGAGGGTTGTATCGGTAGAGGGTATAAGCAGCACCCTCTTGGCTTCCGAGTCCATTTCTTCCAGCAAAATGCTTAACTGGTTTATTTTTCTCACTTTACCCAGTGAGTGTGGCAGAAATGTCTCTCCTGAATAAACTGATCCGGACGTCTCTTGTGGAATCGAGTCATCACGTGGAGATTCTACAACGGGATCCCAAATCGCCACTGTTTTCTGTAACCACCTTTGAAAAGCTGCATTTGTGAGTAACAGAAATTACAAATAGAAAGTACATAGAAAGTACATAGAAAACACATAGAAAGTCCACAAACAGGTTCCAGTCTCTTATAAAGTGGTCTATAATATATAATAGATGGTTAACCGAAGGATTTGAAGATTAGTGTATTGTTCAGTTTAACCTGTTTTTTCTACTTTCTTCATATGTATATGTACCAGTATGTATGTATGTATGTGTGTGTAGATATATATATATCTATCAGTGGTGAAATGTAAAATTTGTTATTACCGGTTCTGTGGGCGTGACTTGGTGGGGGAGGGTAATGTGACGGTGGGCGTGGCCAACTTTTTTTTTTATTTTTAAAAGTATTTTTTTCTACAACCTCTTCTGCTGAAGAGATTGTAGAAAAAATGCTTTTAAAAGGTTCTGACAAACCCAGCTGAATTGCCTGATCATCAGAGGAAGAGAGGAAGGAAGGAAGGAAGGAAGGAAAGAAAGAAAGAAAGAAAGAAAGAAAGAAAGAAAGAAAGAAAGAAAGAAAGAGAAAGGAAAAAGAAAGGAAGGAAGGAAAGAGAAAGAGAAAGAAAGAAAGGAAAGAGAAAGAAAGAAAGAAAAAAGGAAAGAAAGAGCAGTAAAACAAACAAAATGAAACAAAAGAAAATATACATTCAACCCTAACAACAACAAAGAAAAGAAAAAGCAGTAAATTCATATATATGAATTCAAAAATATATGAATTTACTGCTTTTTCTTTTCTTTCAGCAACCAGCCAGGGTGGATCCTACATGTTGAATGTTAAATTTAATTGATCACTTTTTCCGCTCCTTTTTTTTTTTTTTTGGTACACTATTATTTTTCTCTTGTTGTTGTTAGGGTTGAATAAATGTTTATTTTTGTTTCATTTTGTTTTGTATTTTATTTGTTAATGATAAAGTAATACATAATATTAAAGAATTTCCAAGTCATTTACCTTGATGCATTCATTCTTAATTATTATTAATAACACTAACAATGTTATGAATTGTTATTAATTGTTCAGCAGTACATTTGAACCTTTTGCTGTTTTGACAGAAAGCCAGAATTATTGCAAGGTGTTTATGGCATGGGATTTAACAGGCCATCCAAGATACAGGAATCCGCACTGCCAATTATGCTTGCTGATCCGTAAGTTGCTTTAAAAGAAATTAGAAGGACCTTGCTTGTGTTGTAGCTCAGGAAAACCCTATGGCCAATTAGGCAGTGACTTCTATCAGCTGATTGAATCTGATGGGAATCTGTTTATCTGCCTTGAAGCTGAACTATTGCATTTCTTGGGGTGTCAAAGATGGTAATTGTATAAAAAGAATGTTGAAATGATTGACGAGACTTTGGGGTTCTTATGAGCTAAGATAAATGCAAAACAGCTTTTTTTGGGGGGGGGGGGGGGGGGGCTGTGGTGATGATGAGGTATTGTTCCAAAACAATACAGAGATTTATGTTTGCTTTATATATGACAATCCTGTTGCAGAAATCTTTTTAGCTTGTTCAGTTTTGTTCATCCTTTGAAATTGTATACTTTCATATATGATTATTTTTGTATCTTTTCTTAGTCTCTCAGGCTTGGTTTATGTAATGTTCTCCTGGTTCTCCTTATTTAAATGCCATTTCCACATTATTTTTTGTCTGTTTAAAAGAAATCCTGGGATGGTTTCGTTCTTTCTCTTGTTAAGTCAGTTGCTCTCTGTTTGCACAAATGTTAATTAAGTAATTTTGTATTTCAGACCCCAAAATCTTATAGCACAAAGTCAGTCAGGGACAGGCAAAACAGCTGCATTTGTTCTGGCTATGCTGAGCAGAACAGACCCAAAGAAGGAATTTCCACAGGTAAAAGTCACTGATTTGCTCAAACCTTGCTGCTTTCTTCAAGGACAGTTCACCAATGCTGTTTTGTGAGCAGAATTTTTGGTCTTAACTCGAGTAAGACTGCTTCCTTGCCTTTCCTTGACTGAAAAATATGATAGCAAAAGCTTTAGAATTTGAGGTTTTGTAAAAAAAAAAACAACAACAAAACCTTTCCACTCAAATTTTAATGCCCTTGCTTTTTTGGCACACATTTAAAGAATATAGCTATGTGGCAGTGATGAAACAATCCACCCAAACATTATTTTATTGGACCAATTCAACGCACATACACATACACAAACATACCAGTACACTTGATCTCAAACACTTTCCAAAATTGCCTGCTAAAAAAACAATAAGGTGTGAGTGAGAAACTAACTAAGGTAATATCTGCCTTTTTAAAAAAATTGCTCTAAAGTTGTTCATATAGAAACAGCAAAAATCTTTACAAGTTCAAGTACATATTTAGTCAATGTGTAACCAGTCAGAAAAGTACAGGTAGTCCTCGACTTACGACCACAGTTGAGCCCAAAATTTTTGTTGCTAAGTGAAACATTTGTTAATTTTGCCCCATTTTATGAACTTATGGGCCACAATTGTTCAGTGAATCACCACAGTTGTTAAGTTAGTAACATGGTTGTTAAGTGAATCTGGCTTTCCCCATTGACTTTGCTTGCCACAAGGTCGCAAAAGGGGATCGCATGACCCTAGGACAATGTAACGGTCATAAATGTGAGTAGTTGCCAAGCATCCAAATTTTGATCATGTGACTATGGAGAATACTGCAATGGTTGTAAATGTCAAGAATGGTCATAAGTCACTTTTTTCAGTGATGTCATAACTTTGCACAATCACTAACTGTTGTAAGTTGAGAACTTCATGCAAAGGTGGGGGGAATTCAGATGTGTGATTACAAGACTCATTCCAGTATGAGTCTGTCTGTCTTAAAATACAGAAGAATGACACCAAAATAATCCACATTTTATGAACGTCCTGCAGTTCAGCTCCTTTTGAATGGAACTGTTCTGCCCCAGCTATGGACCCCAAAGAACGCAGCACACACAAAGTCCGTACAAACCTTAGTTTACTAATTAAGGACGACTAATGAGCTTTCTTAGTAGTTGTTCGAACACAAGTACAGTTTAAATCAGTCTTTTCTGAACAAGGGCTGTTAATTTAACATCATTTGGACAAGAATCCAAAGAATAATAATTCTGAGGCACAGTATTTCAGAAAACCGTAATCTTACTGTGGTTGGCAGAATGCCCAGAAGCAATTTACAGGAAAACTGACAAGATAAACAAGAGCCGAATCAAACGTTTCTGGAATCAAGATGCGAAGGAATATGAACGAAGTTGTTTCCTGCAAATTGCATAATTCGTTGTCCTTCCTTAAATAGGCTAGGGGAATGGCCAATTAGCCCCAACCCTTACTGTCGAGGAGACCTCCTTCTGAGGAGCCACTCCTGCCTTTTAACAGCTCTGCGCGCTCGTGGATCGAGAAGAGGCTCCTCCTCTTCTTCCTCTTCACTTATGGGAGCTTCTGGAGGTTCTGAAGGCCCTGGCTGAATCCCCGCCTCTGGCACCACATCTTCTCCAGCCTCCTCATTGTCTGACTCGAGCGCCAGCTGCACAGGCTGCTGGCGCAGCACCACACTAGCCTCCTCACTGTCGGAATCAACTACTAACTGCACAGGCTGCTGACGGGCCACAACAGGAACATGGAACAATTGCTGGGAGATAGAGATTTCATAAGAAGTTTATACTTCGTTAGTCGTACCTGTGTTTCCCTGAAAATAAGACCGGGTCTTATATTAATTTTTACTCCAAAAGATGCATTAGGGCTTATTTTCTGGTTAGGTCATATTTTTGTGGAAATACGGTACTAAAAGCTCCCATCTGGCTGGCAGTCTTAACTGGGGCTTATTTTGGGGGTAGTGCTTATATTACAAGCATCCTGAAAAATCATGCTAGGGCTTATTTTCCAGTTGGGTCTTATTTTCGGGGAAACAGGATAATTACTCCCCAATTAAGTCATAATTGAAAAAGCACCCCAGGAAGTTGAATCAATGAATGTGAAAATGTGCATCTCTTGTTGAAAATTAAATTTAAAATGTGGCTACAGACTATATAGATAAGTTATACATTTCTCTTGTCGTGCCTTGAAGTGCCTCTGCCTCTCTCCCACCTTTGAACTGGCTGTTCAAACTGGACATGTTGTTGAGAAAATGGGAAGATTCTGTGTCAACATCAACGTTAATTATGCTATTCGAGGCAACAGAGGTAAGGATTTCTTACATACTGTACGTGCTAGATGTTTAACCTGCCTTTCCTCCATCACCTTCTGGAGGTACATCTTCTGCCTCTTCTAGTTTTGGCTCTAATCCAGTGTTTCTCAACCTGGACAACTTTAAGATGCATGGACTTTAACTCCCAGAATTCCACAGCCAACATTTAAGCAACTTTAAGCCAACATCTTAAAGTTGCCAACATTAAGAAACACTGCCTCCTAAGCAATAACTCTCTGAAGTGGGTTGGACTGAAAGGAAATAATTGGTCCAGGGTCATCCAATGAATTTTAATGACTGAAGATCTACTTGATCCGGGGTCCTCCAGTAAAAGTCCATCATCCTGACTGTCAGGGTCTCTCTCTGTAATGCATCTCCACCCTCTTTGTTATGGTAATGCTTCTGTACTTATTTTGTAAAACATAATTTTGCCAATCTCCCTTGATGCATACTCATGACCGCATCTCCACTTCATATAGGGGATTCTTTCACAGGTTTTTTAAAGTTTTGTAGGAATCTTTTCAGTCGCTAAGAACAATATTACAGTTCCATTTTTCATCCTCCTAGACGATTTTTGCTTCAGGTCTGGAAATTTTCTGTGGTGTTCATGTTAATTTGTCCGAATCTTTGAGTGGGGTGGGGTTGTATTGGATGAATGATATTGCTGTAATTTACAGAATAATGGAGTTGGAAGGGATTTTGGAAGTCTTCTAGTCCAACCCCCTGCTCAAATAGGAGACCTTAAACTATTTTCGACAATGGTTGTCCAGTCCCTTCTTAAAAGCCTCCATTGTTGGAACACTCACAACTTCTGAAGATGTTCCACAAGTTGATTATTCTCACTGTCAGGAAATTCCTTCTTAGTTCTAGGTTGCTTCTCTCCTTGATTAGTTTCCATCCGCTGCTTCTTGTCCTGCCCTCTGGTGCTTTGGAGAATAGGTTGACGCTTTCTTCTTTGTGGCAGCCCCTCAAATATTGGAACACTGCTATCACGTCACCCCTAGTTCGTTTCACTAGACTAGACATCCAATTTGGTTTTTGGATTGTAAGCTACTCAGAGCTGTGATGGCCTTGTCCAGCCTTACAATTTTAACTAATTTAATACATTGTAGATAAATATAGAAAATAGTCATACTTTTTCTTACAACCAGAATATATTAGGAACTACTTTCTATATTAGCTATTGCAATATTTAGTTATTTGTACCCCACCATGGCATTTGGTAATGTTGGCTTAACCATATTCCAGAAATGTCAGAATGAACTTCCAATAGATGCATATATATTGAGAAGAACTTGTCAGTTGCTTATTGGATAGTGTGAAGGCCATGGTGTAAACTCATTCTCTTTGTATTTCTTTTTGTGAGGTCCAGAGTAGGTAACACAATGCCCTCCATATATTCCATACAGCATTATAAATCCTATGAGTCTCAGCCAGCAGACCAGTAGTATCTAATTAGGTATGGGTGACATTTCAAAATATCTGGATGGATGGCACCAAGACCTACTTGCCTGACTACCTTTTTGAAAAAGAAGGCACGAAAGCTCTGCATGGCTCTGTTTCTCTTTTGGGGTTCAATAAGATTAATAATGTTTATTCTCACATTTGTTTTGCCTTCATAGCAATCCTATAGGGTGCCCGACATTCTCTTCGATTTCTTCCTTAAGTAAGAAATTGACCTGGAGACCCTAAAGAGAAATTTCCTGACAGCTAGAACAATTAATCAGTAAAATGAGTTGCCTCCAGAAGTTGTGGGTGCTCCAACACTGGAAGTTTTTAAGAAGAGACTGGACAACCATTTGTCTGAAATAGCAGCGGGTTTCCTGCTTGAAGATGGGGTTGGACTAGATGACTACCAAGGTCCCTTCCAATCTGTTATTCTGTGATTTGAGGTTCCTAATTATCCAGCCTATTCAATTTCATATTTCTCTCATTCTGAACGAGACTAAAGAAAAACAACTTCACAAAAATACTACTACATAGTCCTAAGTTTTTTTCATTGCAGCAAATAATGCTTTTTATATAAATACGTTTTTCTTAGTTCCCAGGGGGACTTCAATAAGAGAACAAATAATAATTGGAACACCAGGGACCCTGCTAGATTGGTGTTTTAAGCTAAAGCTTTTTAATCTGAAGAAGATCAGAGTGTATGTGCTGGATGAAGCAGATGTCATGATCGATAAACAGAATTTCTTGGATCAGAGTGTTCGTATCCAGAGGTAAATCATGTTTTTCTTCTTTTTGTTTCTGAATAAGATTCTTTTCCACTACTAAACATCCTGATTATTTAACTTTTCCCAAGTTGCCTCAATGCCACGCATCATCCAAAAGACAGTTCTAAAAATACAGATCATGTAAATAATAATAAAAAAACTTTTATGCATTTATATTGAGAAAATCATTAAGATTCTTTTGCCAGGGCAAAAGCAGATCTCAGGTTAAACAAATGCTGCTTCATGTGATATGGAAGAAAAGCATGGATGTGTTGGTGCTTCTTTTTACAAGCTTTGCAAGAAGCTGGGTTGATTGACGACTTTTGATGCCTACCGTTTGTCATGGTACCTGCTGCAAAATCACCCAAGTCACTGGTCGCTTCAATTATACAATGCCCTCTTAAAATTCCTGTACCTCTTTTCCGTGCATTGTCTTCCTAACTCCAGTTTGAGAGCTCTTCTGCCCCCATGGAGTCAACGAACCATTGCTCTGTTTATCCCAGGACCATAAAACGTAGAGACTTCCAGTTGTTACTGAGTTCTGGTTGCCATCAACTGAACCAGCATGGCCCATACGGAGGAATCATGGATGCTGCAGTCCAAGTAGACATTTGCTCATCTTTGAGCTATGAAATTACCATCCTCAAGGGCCATGGTGGTTAGAACGCAGTATTGCAGTCTAATTCTGCCCACTGCCAGGAGTTCGATCCTGATCGGCTCAAAGTTGACTCAGTCTTCCATCTTCCCGAGGTCGGTAAAATGAGGACCCAGATTGTTGGGGGCAATAGGCTGACTCCGTAAACTACTTAGAGCTGTAAGGCACTATGAAGTGGTATATTTATTTGGAGTTTATTTATTTGGACAATTTATATTGCTGCCTACTCACTCAAGGCAATTTAAGGCAGCTTACAGGAAATAAAAACATAATATAAAAGAAATAAAATAATTAATAATAAAATAATAACCCCCACCCAACAACAACAAATACTCATACCAACCATTTAATGGGCTCCACCCTGTTCTGGGTTTCCCAGGCCTGCTGACAAAACCACGTCTTGAGGGCTTCCGGAAGAGTGTCAGAGTAGGGGCCAGTCTAATTTCCAGAGGGATGATGTTCAGAGGGAGGGAGCCACCACAGAGAAGGCCCTTCTGGGTCCCACCAGATGTATCTCCTTGCGGGTTGGGCCCTGCAACATTCCTTGCCTCCCTGCTCTAGTGGGTCAGATGGATGTGACTGGCAAGAGACGGTTCCTCAGATGACCTTGTCTGAAGCCATGAAGAGAGCTTTAAAGGTGACAACCAGCACCTTGAATTGCACCCAGAATCGGCAACCAATGCAGGTCCTACAGGAGAGGTGACACATGTGCACACCGAGGTCTGCACAAAATCATGCGGGCCGCTGCGTTTTGCACCAACTGAAGCTTCTGCATGCTTTATATATAGTCTAGACTATGTCCAAGTGCTAAAAGTCTTAAGTGCTGTTGCTATAATGCTATTAGTTGAATATGGCCCTGGGTCTATGACAATTCCCCATGTCCAACTCACTGCGGGACAAGAGTCACTCTAATATCAAAGAAATAGTGGAACAGAGTCCTTGAAGAAAGGATGCAAAAAGAGGGACAGAATGAAACGTGAATGGCAAAAATCAAAATATTTTTTATTTATTTTAAGTAATTAAATAGAATTGTTAAATTGTCCTGCAGTGAGTTGGCCACGGCGAGTTGTCCCAATTCTGCCTTGCAGGTCTGTGCTGATGACTCGTTGGAAGCACTGAAGATCCAATCTGGAAACCTTGTGCATGTAAAATCACTTGAGCTACAGGCTCTTTGAAACAAAGTTCCTTCCTTTATGGGACTGTTGGCCAAGGGCCGATGCAGAACGGTTTCTTTGGGTATTTAATATCGGCTCCTTTCATTCCTACAGTATCTGTTGGAACTATTCTTTCTTTAAAAAATTTCCCGTAGAGCTTTGTCTTCAGATTGCCAGCTGCTTCTCTTCTCAGCAACCTTTGAGCCGCCTGTACTAAAGTTTGCCCAGCGCATCATCCCTGAGCCTAACATCATTAAGCTCCGACGAGAAGAGCTGACCCTCAGCAATATCCGGCAGTATTATTTTGAGTGTGAGAAGAAGGAAGAGAAATTCAGAGCCCTGTGCAACATCTACGGCAGCATCACCATCGGCCAGGCCATCATTTTCTGCCAGGTAAGGTGCTCTGTGGTCCTCCCTTCAAAGTAAAAAGCATTCTAGGAACCCAAAGTCATGCAGCCCAGTTCCCACTTTTATGATAAAGTTAGGGGGGCAATAAAACCTTGCAAGTCTGAAAGTGCTTTTCCCCTCCCCCCAGAGAACCAGGGAGGGTTTTATCTGAGACTTTTATACAGGGAGTCCTTGACTTATGACCACAATTGGGCCCAGCGTTTATGTTGCTAAATGAACATAATTTGTTAAGGAATTTTGCCCCATTTTACGACTTTTTGCACCACAATTGTTACGTGCAGTTAAGTTTGCAACGTGGCTGTTAAGCGAATCTGGCTTCCCCATTGACTTTGTTTGTCAGAAGGTTGCAAAAGGTGATCAAGTGATCCTGGGACACTGCCAACGTCATACATCTGAGTCAATTGTCAAGGATCCAAATGTAAAATCACGTGACCATGGGGATGCTGCAACGGTCATAAGTGTGAAAAATAGTCATGTCACTTTTTTCAGTGCTGTTGTATTTATTTATTTATTTATGCATGCATGCATGCATGCATGCATGCAGGCTTATATGCCGCCCTATCTCCGAAAGGACTCAGGGCGGCTCACAACAATAAAACACACAAAGTTCAATTTTTAAAAAAATACCCAGTAAAACTATAAAAACCATTAAAATCCCCTCTAAAACCCCATCAGTCCAAGCCGGCCAGGCGCAATAGCCATGTTTTAAGGCCATGGCGGAAAGAGCGAAGGTCAGGGGCCACCTGGAGCCCCAGGGGGAGCTGATTCCACAGGGTAGGTGCACCCACAGAGAAGACCTGCTCCCTAGGGGTCGCCAACTGACATTGTCTGGCCGACAGTACCCCAAGGAGGCCCTCCCTGTGGGAACGCACCAGGCGATGGGGAGCGGTCACTGGCCGCAGATAGTCCGCCAAATACCCCGGGCCTAAGCCATGTAGGGCTGTATAGGTGATTACCAGCACCTTGAATCTCACCTGGAGGGCAACCGGTAGCCAATGCAGGTCCCGCAGGAGGGGTGTAACATGAGAGTGTCGGGACACTCCCATCACTATCCGCGCGGCCGCATTCTGCACCAGCTGAAGCCTCCGAGTGGTCTTCAGGGGCAGCCCCATGTAGACAGCATTGCAGTAGTCGATCGAGTTGTAACTTCAAATGGTCACTAAACGAACTGTTGTAAGTCAAGGACTACCTGTACATGTTACAGTTCATTTCCTGGCTCAGGTTTCTGTTATCCAAGCATTGTCTTGGTAGCAGCTTTTCTTCCTGTCCCTTCTTTTCTTCCGCCCGTCACATCTGGCCAGCATTCGGCTGGATTCAGGCATCTTCCTGCAGATGTCTCACCACTACATCTGGGACATACCCATCAGCTACCAAGCAGCCAAAGGGAATAGCATTTTCAGTTGATTTATATTGATGCAGAAATGCCATGAGATACAGAAGAAGAAAGAAGAGTGAACTGCTGTAGTAAGTTTCTCCTTGGCTTCCGTGTTTTTATTTATTGCATCCTGAAACCTATTTCTATTGGGTGGGTTGTAAAGGAATACATTACAGTACCTCAAAAACGCAACCAATGGACTGTCTGTTCCAGCAGGCTTCCCTTTGTGCCACGCTCCTTTCTTGTACTCTTTTGACAGACTCGTTACAATGCTAAATGGCTGTACCACGCCCTAAGAAACGATGGGCACCAAGTGTCCCTGCTGATCGGGGAACTGACGGTTGATCAGCGGGCAGAGGTGATCCAGCAGTTCCGCGATGGGAAATTCAAAGTTCTCATCACAACCAACATCTGCGCCAGAGGTATAGTTCTAGCTGTTGAAGCTCTCCCTGTGTTATGACCCAGGTCTCCTAGGCAGAGTCCTCAGAGCATCCATAAGAGTTCTTTATTGCAGGGGTCTCCAACCTTGGCAACTTTAAGACTCAGCGAGGCTGAGGAACTCTGGGAACTCTGTTTTATTGCTCTGTTAAATGCCACAAGAAATGTCTCCGCCCCACCCTTCCCCGAAGGCAGCCACCCTCAGTCCCACAAACAAAAACCAGTAAACAGCAAAAACCAATTGGCAAAGACAGAGAAGAGGTCCAAAGAGAAGGTGTGCGAGTCCACAAGGCAAGGCACAGGCAGAAACACTTAAGTCAAGGCTGACATTTTCCAAAGCCGGGGCAGTGTAAGCCAAAGCAAACAATTGTTCTTGACAAAGACAAACTCCCCCGCCCCCCTTCTTCTTAAATCATCCCACACCAGGTGTTCCTTGTGAGGAGGGGTGGGGCGACCTACTCCCAAGTAGCCTTGCAGCCTTCCTTTGAGCTTGCCTCTTCTCTACTCTCCGTGCCTCGGATTGAGTGGGGGAGGCAGCTGTTCATCATCAGAGGAGATCTGCTGCACCACTGCCTGTCTACAGCTGATCCCTACCTATGTCTATGAGGCAGTGGTGAAATTCAAAAATTTTCCCTACCAGTTCTATGAGCGTGGCTTGGTGGTCATATGACCGGATGGGCATGGCTGCACAACTGACTTACATACAATGCAATGCAATACAATGCAAAAGCAGCTGGACTTCACACAAAATGGCCCCTGCAACAAGCAGGAACCTCACAGAGTCACAGAGAGCTCAAAAACAAACTATGATACTTTACACAAAAATACGGAGTTCGGGCAATAGGTAGTAAAAAAAATGCTTTAAAAAGTAAAAAAAAAAAAAAAAGTCCCAAGGATTGCTTGGCACAGCTGATTGTCGGAACCTTTTTTTTTTCTTTTTTAAAGCATTTCTTTACTACCTATTGCCTGAACTGGTATTTAAAAAATGCTTTAAAAATATAATAAAAAAAAAAAGTTCTGAGGATCAGCTGTGCCGGGCGACCATTGGAACTTTTTTTTTTTTTTACTTTTTAAAGCATTTTTTTACTACCGGTTCAGGCAAACCAGTAGCATTTTCACTACCGGTTTTGGGCGAACCGCCCCAAACTGGTAGCATTTCACCCCTGCTATGAGGGCAGGCAGCTCTTCATCTGGTCGACCACTTCCCCCAATGCCTGAGTGGCCTGGGACAGCATCGTCCTCAGGCCCTGGCCTCTCCAAGCATTCCAAGGGAGACATGCCATCCCTGTCAGATGGTCACAACTCTTCCTCCTCCTCCGAACTGGGCTCCGATGAGGCCACGACACCCTGGTTTTTGCAGCTGCTGTCCAGGCAGGTCAGCCATACTGATCCTCTCTGTTTATATTTCTCCCTAGGCATTGATGTGATGCAGGTCACCATCGTGGTCAACTTCACCTTGCCTACGACAGTGTTCCGGGGGCCTGACTTTGAGGCCTACCTCCACCGTATCGGTCGAACAGGCCGGTTTGGAAAGAAGGGTCTGGCGTTCAATATGGTGGAAAGGAAAAACTTACCTCTTCTGTTTGAAATCCAGAATCACTTCAGTGAGTGTGATACGTCCCCTGGGCCAAAAACCCCTTAATATATAAACGTTAGTCAGAAGCTTCATCAGCTTTTAGTTTGCACCAGAGCTGTAGAGTGGGAAACTCTGAAGGCTGCAGTGCTTGGAAGATCAGAGGCACAAAGAGGTGGAATCACCTACCTTTAATTTGACAGTAATTCTTTATATTCACTTTAAATCAAGTGGCCATTTTTCTGAGCAGGTGAACCTCTCCCAAACACACCATTGTCTACAGCCATGCACCGTCTGAATTTCTTAGAATGCCTACAGAGGACCCATCACAAGGCCTATCACTAGATTCATCACAAGAGCCTCACCTGATGTGTTCCACATCTGATCCAGGGGTGATATCAGTGGTGAAATCCAATTTTTTTTACTACCAGTTCTGTGGGCGTGGCTTGGTGGGCATGGTGTGGCTTGGTGGGCATAGCAGGGGAAGGATACTGCAAAATCTCCATTCCCATCTCACTCCTGGGGGAAGGCTACTACAAAATCCCCATTCCCACCCCACTCCTGGGGGAAGGATATTGCAAAATCTCCATTCCCACCCCACTCTGGGGCCAGCCAGAGGTGGTATTTGCCAGTTCTCCGAACTGCTCATAATTTCCGCTACCGGTTCTCCAGAACCTGCTGGATTTCACCCCTGGGTAAAATGCTGTCGGTTCGGGGTGGTTCGCCCAAACTGGTAGTGAAAATGCTTTAAAAAGTTAAAAAAAAAGTTCCAACGATCGCATGGCACAGCTGATTGTCTGAACTTTTTTTTAAAAAAATTTTAAGCATTTTTTTACTACCGGTTCCAGCAAATAGGTGGTAAAATATGCTAAAAAAATCTTTTAAAAAGGTTCCGACAACCAGCTGTGCTGCACCATCCTTGGAACTTTTTTTTTTACTTTTTAAAGCATTTTTTTACTACCTATTGCCTGAGCCGATATTTTTGTGTAAAATGTGATAGTTTGTTTTTCAGCTCTCTGTGACACTGTGAGGTTCCTGCTTGTTGCAGGGGCCATTTTGTGTGAAGTCCAGCTGCTTTTGCATTGTGTGTGAGTCAATTGTGTAGCTTTTGTGTTATTTTTGTGTAAAGTGTGATAGTTGGTTTTCCTGGTCACATGACCACCAAGCCACGCCCACCCAGTCACATGACCACCAAGCCACGCCCACAGAACCGGTAGGGAAAATTTTTGAATTTCACCACTGATCTGATCCATCAAAAGATCCTCACCTGATGTGACCCATCACAAGACCTATCACTGGGTCCATCAAAAGGCCCTCACCTGACGTGACCCTCCCATCACAAGACCCACTGACCACACAAAGCCCTGACAGCAACACTGGCATCCCCTAAACTCCGCTGAAGATGCTACCTAGCCTCGTAACAAAATGTTCGGAAACCACAGGCTCAGAGAACAAACCTCCACCCTCCGCATACCTACAGCATTTTTGCTGGGGATAGAGGCATTCTTGAAAACAGCTTACCTTAGCCGCAGGTGTCTTTGTTTTGCCGATTCTTTTAATCAGAAGGGTGTTAAAATAGAATTTGGAGCTCGGCAAGCAGAAAGGGTAGTGTAGGCAGTGCTGTGTCACAAACTTCAGAAGATGTACAGTTGGTTCTCAACGATCACAGCTGAACCCAAAATTTATGTTGCTAAGTGAGGAATCAGTTGAGTGAGTTTTTTTCCCTGCTTTACGACTTTTCTTGCCACATTTGTTAAGTGAATCACTGCAGTTCTGAAATCACCAACATGATTGTTGGGTGAATCTGGTTTCTGACTGCAAAAGGGGATCACATGACCCCAGGACACTGCAACCGTCATAAATGTGAGTCATTTGTCAAACATTCGAATGGGAATCACGCAACCGTGGGGATGCTGCAAACGGTCATAAGTGTGAAAACTAGTCATAAGTCACTTCTTTCAGTGCTGTCGTAACTTCGACCAGTCACTAAGTGAGCTGTTGTAAGTGGAGGGCCACCTGTGCCTACTGCAGTTCAGTGGCTTAGGTGCCTTTCCAAAAAATCAACTGCAAATTTATTTCTTCTTTTCAGAGATCTTGATCCAACGCCTTGATCCAGAGGATATGGAAGCGCTAGAAAAAATAGAAGACTGAAGCCGTATAATTTTGTACAAGAGACTTTTGCCCACATCTATTTTGCTTTGTCAGATTAAAGGAAAATTGTCTTGTTCCTCTATTTTTCTTCTGCAAACTGCTATGGTGGTACATAGAATTGTTCACATGATGAGCAGGAAGAGCCCTGAGTTTAACAAACCATTAATCTCAAAAGTCCCTTATTATCTACCTAGATCAGGAGTCTTCAACCTTAAACACTCAAAGAGCCATTTGGACCCGTTTCCCACAGAAAAGAAATCACCGGGAGGCACAGAACCTGGGTGGGCGTGGCCAACTCGACATTGTTCACTCCCACCCAGTCACATGACACACACACACACACACACACATACCAGCCACACCCAGGTTTTGTGCCTCCTGGTGTTACCTTAGGTCAGAGGTCTTCAAACTTGGCAGCTTTAAGGCTTGTGGACTTCAACTCCCAGAATTCTCCAGCTGGCTGGAGAATTCTGGGAGTTGAAGTCCACAAGTCTTAAAGCTGCCAAGTTTGAAGACCTCTGACCTAAGGTAATCGCCCTTACCTTCTTAGGCCAGGCGAGGATTGACTGGGAGGGGAGGGTGAGCGGGGCCAGCCAATGGTGGGTTCAGCGGACAGGGAGCCACAGCAGGGGGACGAAAGAGCCACATGCGGTTTTGGAGCCGCAGGTTGCAGACACCTGACCTAGATGCACTGTGCCATTTTTTTACACTGATGGGACTACGAGTATGCAATCATTTGGGGGTCTCTCTTTCTGAGAAAATGGAGGAACTTGGCAATCCACAGTGTTAAAGTTGTTTTTACATAAATGCCTTAGTTCCACATGTCCAATATTTCCATCACACAGTTGGATAGTATTCCCCAATCACGTGTGTACCAGGATCATGGGTATTGTCAGATCCAAATACATATGATATTTGACTTTGAGAGTGCTAAACCTGTACCATGATTTGAGCTAAAGTTTAGGTTAATAAAGTGACTTGTTAGAAGAGAGCATAAGAACAGGCAATTATTCTGCTTGCCTCTAGGAGTCAGTAGCTGCTTGTATTAAAAGCCGAGTTACAGGCCAGTTTGATTTAAGGAGATTATGTACTGTATATATGTTTTTTTTTAAAAAAAATCCCTTCTCACTCATGGGTGGCCGATGTCTTCCTCAATCTTGGGTTCTCTCCCACAGGCCTGAGAATTTGAGGGTTCTGCATAGGATCTTAGCCGTTCCTAGCACTGTATTTCCATAGCTTTCCACAGCTTGCCAGGATAATGGGTAGGTATAAGCAACAAATTTCACTTCCTAAATGAAAAAATAGGCAAACCCATCGTCTTTTCTCTAATGCTGCCCTCCAGTAATGTAGAATTGAGCCCTACCTATTGATGTCTTGTTGAAATAGACTAGATAGTCATTTGACCGGGATGGTAGAAGGCAGGGGACCCCAAGCCTCGGTTCCATGGACCAGCACTGAGCTGCAGCATGCCAGAAACTGGGCCACGCAAACCAGCGAAGCCCCATCCACAGGATGTAGGTGGCATGCAAAACCATGCCCCCTCTGGTCCGTGGAAAAATCTCCACGGAACCGGTCCCTGGTGCCCAAAAGGTTTGGGGCCACTGGTATAAACTTTCTTGCCTTGAGTAGGGGGTTGGACTAGAAGACACCCCTCCCTGCCCCCAGGTCCCATCCAGCCCTATGAATATGTTCTAAATAAGAATGTAGCAACAAATGGATGCCAGATCACCTTGATGGGTATCCAGAGCATCACTGGAGGAACAACTGAATCAAAAAGAGACACATGGACAGTCCATTGGTCCTTCTTGCTTAGCAGTCAATACAGGTAGTCCTCGATTTACGTGCATAATTGAGTCCTAAATTTCTGTTGCTAAGTGAGATAGTTAATACCCCATTTTATGATCTTTCTTGCCACAGTTAGGTTAGTAGCAAGGTTGTTAAGTGAATCTGGCTTCCCCATTGACTTTAGAACAGGGGTGTCAAGCTGGCAGCCTGCAGACCAAATGCATCACATGCAGGCCATGCCCACCCCAACTCCGCAAATGGGAAAAACGTGAAGCGTCATGTGACAGCGAGTTGACACCCGTGCTTTAGAAGGTTGCAAAAGGTGATCACATGACCCCAGGACATGACATGCGTTATAAATGGCTGAATTTTGATCACATGGCCATGGGGATGCTGCAACAGTTGTAAGTGTAAAAACAGTCTTAAGTCACTTTTTTAAAGTGCCATTGTAACTCCAAACAATCACTAAATGAATCGTTGTAAGTAGAGGACTACCTATATTTATTATTTGTGGTTCTCTGATGTCCATGCAGAGGTTTTCGGGCTGCTTTTGCAGATAATGAGTATTAACTTCTCTATGCAAGGCCTGTTTTTTTGTCTCTCCAGGGGATTCCTTGATCTTGCACTCTGCTTTCTGAAAAAGAAACTTAAAATATTTCATGGCCTCTGGAATGATTTCCTGGAGACTTTAGGAAGCAGCCAAGATGTTATTTAAATACTCAAAAATACGTATTTATCCCTTGCATTCTCTGCTATTTTAACACAAGCACCAAATGAAACGTGGACTCTGGTTGCTGCTAGTGTGTTCTGGTCAGCACTTCAGTTTAAGAAATGTGTGTGTCATCCCACTATAAAGCAAAATTAGAAAAGGATTCTTTGAGCATCCTTTCCCCCAAGGACAGCGTTGTGTTCCCTGCTTGTTTTTAATCACATCGACGGCAGCGTGGGCTATAAAATCAGCAGAAAACAGAAATCTTTTCCCCTCTGTATTTTTTCACGTGGAAAATGTTCCACTTTGAGCAGCGCTTTTCTCAGAAGATAAAGTGATCCTGGCATTCGAATGCATGCAAAGTTGCACTGGACGTGGTGGTCCTTCCTAGGCGTAGCTGGAGACTTGAGTTGCATCATGCGGGTTCTGCTGCAGTGAAGCAGGAGCTGGCATGAAGAAAGAGAACAATTTGAAAGTCTTGCAGAGACAAGTTTGCATAACCCCATACGCACACCCCCAAGCCCCGGGGAATTGGATCATTGGCACCAGGGCACACACATGATACAGCCAATTGCCTGCTACATTGGTGGCCTGTGAATAAACATGGCACAGGAGGCTGAAAAACACAAACCCCAGGACATTTTTCCCTCCCCCTTTCTTTTTTGCACAGAAAGAATGTTGGGCAATAAAAGGGAATGCGATCGCAAGGAAAGGTTTGGCGTGGCACAACTCTATTTCCCGCGGTGTGAAAAATAGAAGGAAGAAGTTGTCCAGAAGAAAAAGAGTAGCTAAGGGAAATATATGAAATATTCTAAGCTTTTGCTTCTACCGGGCTGAGTTCACCTACTTTGCTAACTTGTGGCTTTGAAGAAGCCACAACTGGTTGAGGTCACACATCTTTCTACATCATACACCAAGCGGGACCATTGTGCTTAGACCCACCTTCTCCACTCTGGAATGCTTCAGCTGGGTGGATTTCATTTTACAGATTTTTCTCAGCCGGTGTGCCCATTGCTGAGAATTTGGACAGTTCATGTGGGTGTAGCTGGGTACCAACTCACTACACCCATTTCAACTGCTCAAGCTTGGAAAAGCTGCGGGAAATTCAGACCAGTCAAGGAGACAATTCAGACCATCTCCATCCGTGATCTGCCTTCGCCCATCTTAACTCTTCGGCGCTGAGCCAGAAGAAGGGTATTAGGAAACAAACTTCACAGCTAGTCCTACTATTAGGTGAGACCTTGATTCATGTTCTATACATAGTTAACTCTTTCAGAATCATAAAGCAACTGGATTTGTCAAGTTCAGGGGTGTCTACAAAGGAAGTAAAATAGTGAAAATGGCAGCCACAGCCATGCATTCAAAGGCCCGATCTTTCTTACCTGCATTGCGAAGAGTCCACAAAGTGGTAAAAAAATTCAACATGGTGGCAATCACCACACAATCAAACCTCCGCCCTTGATTGTGCATTGTGACACATGTAAAAAGGGCAGAGTTTTGATTGCATTGTGGTGGCTAAAGCAATGTAACTTTTGTCCTGCAGTGAGTTGGCCCTGGCGAATTGTCATGGATCCAGTGGGGGCTTATCCCACACAGCATGGCAGGAAGCAAGCTGAGACAGCCATTTTTAAGGATATATGACCAGCTGCACATGACCAGCTTCTGCCCAGCTGGAATGAAAACAGGAAACTGAACTTGAACGAACAGCTGCTAGGGAGCTGACAGCTCAGAGATCTCCTCACTCTGCATGGCAAATATTTTGAGTTTGCCCTTTGTACATGAGTTGTGCACTCTTTGCGCTAAACACAGCTGGCTTAGCCATATTTGATTGAATAAACCACAATTAGATGGGTTAACATATCAAACTTGCTAAAACAACCCACCAGCAACATTAAGGCTTAGTGGATCTATTTGTCCCCAAATAGTGTCGCTTTCTGTAGCTTAGCACAATATCCAGAAGTTTCTCCCCTGAAATCAAGCAATGGGCCCAGTTGTAAACACTGCTTAAAAGATATTGCAAATAGATGCTCAAAAACTCACCCTCTTTAACGGGGGTGAAATCTACTTACCTTCCCCACCAGTTCGGAAGTGCACGCACCGCACGAGCTTGCTCCGTGCGCACGCAGATCATCTGCACATGCGCAAATCCTTCTGCACATGCAGAGGGTAAAAAAACATGTTACTTCCTGGTTAAAACCAGGAAGTAACGACAACCTGGTGGGTGGGCGGAGCCTTGCGCTGCCATCGCTACCAGTTCTCCGAACTACCCGCTGCCATCGCTACCGCTTTGGCCAAACTGAACTGAACCAGTAGCATTTCACCCCTGCTCTTTAAGTCATGCACACTTATGCTCTTCCTACAACTTCCCTTTACTTCTGCATCTCCCTTCCCTTTCTCCTCCCACTTCCCTGCTATATTACTTGAACAATTCCTGCCTTTATATTGCCAGCATCATTTCCACAATTGGCCCTTGTAGCTAATATGTAGCTAATCAGCAGGCCTGCAGCAGAGCAGGAATGATAAATTGTTTTTTTTTAAAAATTCAATAAAGTTAGTGGGGAACATTGGAACCAGCTGTAGGG